GGATCAAGGACAGGCTTCAATCTAGTTAGTGCCCTTTGAGCCATCAATCCAATTTGCAACAAGGCTACTAGTTAACAGTAACCATCTTCTGTAGCCTTCCTTACTACAGTGTTAACTTAGCAGGCAGGGAAATCCCTACTGTGTAAACTTATTCCTCCCCTACCCCCAACCAAGTTGTCTACTTTGTCCACTTTTAGTGCCTTATTCTTCTAAACAGACCGATTTTCTAAAATTAATGTTTTACGGCCAGTGGTCTGGTCCCACATCTGTCCTATGGATGACTAAATCCCATCAAGGGGCCTAAAAGGTTTAGTATTCTCAATGATAATTTATACTTTAAACAGGAGACAAGTTTGTGTTCTTTCCATTTTTATAAAAGAAACCTAGGAAGAAAGGGGTAATGGGAATGACAAATACTAAAGTGTTTAATTCTCAGTTAACTTTCAGCTGTTAATATGGTATTAACTATTGTGTGTACTGACTTTTTGATCACAAGATAGCATGTTACTTAAGTGAGGCCTAGAAAACAGCTAAAGTGACATATAAGTAGGATGTTAAGACAAACTTTAAGAGCCTCTTAGTAATACTGAGAAAGATCATCACTCCTGAAACTGTCGCACCATGAAAACAAACTACAGGTCTCTGAGAGCATATTCATTTCTTCTAGTTCATAAGCAAACTGTTACATCTAGATTTTTTTCTCCAGCACAGCTAACTCCTGTTCTCAATTCTCACATTCATGGTCTTATTATTCCACAGCTGGAAAAGATAGGCAGAAAAACAAGCAGACTTGTGTCTTCCACATTTTCTTAGTCCCAGAACCCAGATTTACTTTTGTTACAAAAATCAGTACCTATAAGGTAAACTCTACTGAAAACCTAAATGGATAAGCTGAAAAGGAGAATATTGCACAAAAGATGGGAAGACAAAGGTAAAGCTACAAGAAAACTTCCCCAAACCATCTAACTTTAGAGCTGATACAGAGGATCAAGGTAGTTAGCTGGTACCCACTTTGTTGTATATATTTACAGTAGCGAGTTTCCTGCTTAATTTTGTGTTACAGCTCCCTCTGGTGGCTAAGCGATTTTCCCTAGCACTTACTCCAACAGAGAGCAGTACAGTATGTTGTAAAATAAATAAGACTTATTTCTACAAATTGTTTTCGTTCAAAGTGCATTTGGGGGGATGAGTACAGCATCCTAGAGAGGCTCTGTTTCCACTATCTTCACGTCCACAGTTCAGTAAGACATTTCTACAAACTGTTTTTGTACAAAGTGCATTTGGTGGGGATGAGCATAGCATCCTAGAGGCTGTTTCCACTAACTTCCTATGTCCACAGTTCTATCAATAGTGGACAGACACTTACAAAGTTGTATGGTGACAGAAGTTTGAGGCTTTTTAACCTGATACTTGAGTATTATCTCCTTTTATCATCCAGCTGAACTAGGTGTTGTTTTGCTTACCTAAATAGTAAATTTATGGAAGGTCACATATGACTTTTCACTCCCTGAAATCCCAGCCTAGCACCTATTAAAATGTTATAAATTACAAAGGTTTTATCTGCCTAAATTAACTTCTATGACAAAAACTCATTTATTCAATTTTTATTCTGTGCACAAATGAAGCATGGAGTTTTTATAATAAAAAAAAATCCTTCTCTTGATCACTACAAGCTGACAACCACCCTAAGGGTTGTCAGGCATTAGCTTTCAAAGCTACCAAGAAGCACTCCAAAGGTCTCAATCACAGAAGTACTGGCTTAAGTATACTATAATCTCTTGGGGTTTATGTTTAAAGCAAAAGTTCCTTTGCCAGCACTACTATTTATTCAATAGACAATCACAATAGACACAATGAACAGATGTTTCCTTGTAATCTCTTTACTTCATGCCAATCCCAATCCCAGCTTTTCCTATAGGATCTCACTGATCAATGTTCCTCTAAGTATTAATACAGAAACCATTACCTCAAAAGAATGTTGTACACTCTAGGATGGCCAAGTATTTGCTTCAATGGGGTTAACTGTTGAGTTCACTACTACAACAGAATGTAAAGAAATGTGGGTCATACCTTTTTTGCTTGTGGCTGCTTCAGCCTAAAAAGATGTGGGAACTTAAAATTCAATCAATAAAGGATTCACAATAACAGGTTTTTCAGTCAAGATCCCAATTACAGATGAAAGCATTAAGCCTGTGTATGCTAGTACAGTTCCTATAATCCCTTATTCAAATTCTTTGGGGACAGACATATCTTGGATTCAGAGCTATACGCACTTTATAAGATACATATATACCCGTATTAAACAACACCCTCAGCAAAGTCTGTGGCAACTGTGCAATGCACTGTGCAATGCATAATGAAGTACAACAGGAAACAGTTTAGTCACACTAAGTGCAAAATTCTGGTCAGGTTTCACATTTAATTAGCTCAACAACAGAAAATCTTTTCAGTTTTGTTTGGATTTCAGAAAATGGGTAAGAGACTGTAATCTGTTTTCTGCATTTGCACTCTTCATACTGTGATGGAAATAAGTCAGAGTGGTTATGTTACAACAGAACTTCAGTCTAACAGTTTTTCATCTTTTAATACTATTTGTGTAAATACATATATATATATAACTTACTTGCAATTTAAATTACAAAATTCATATACAAAGTAAGCAAAAAGGCACACATAAGAAATTCACCTTGACCACAGAAATGTTAAAACACCAGCCCTAATGAGCAAGACAATGTTTCAAAGACAACACCAAGAAAAGTTGAGATTCTACAATAAATCATATTAAATGCAAACACTACAATGTGCAGAGGTGAGCACTCAAAATTATTTACTGAAGCATAAAACTTAGGAAAAACCGTTTTAAATGAGGGGAATCTATTCACATTCCAAATAGCGTTTTTAAAAATATTAAACTTGGTTTTAAAAAACAAAATTCAGATCCCAAACAATCAGGAACCAGAAAATGGGTTTCTTACCTTTTGTTTCCAGTAGGATGTGGGCTGAACAGCAAGGTGGGTTATTCAATCTGATGTTATGAAAAGCAATTGCTTCTTAAAGAGACTTAAGTTTTTCCTTGGTTAGAAAATAATTATAGGCTCCCTACAATATTCTAAGGGGACATAAATAGGGAGAAGAGGAGGAAAGTCCAAGACAGCTTTTGTAGTTTAGAAAGGGTGTAACTTTCTTCTAACAATTGCCAATACGGATAGAGACCTAAAGGTCCACTAATACTATAAACAGGAGCAGTCCGTACTTCCCATCACAGCTTTTAGCTGTCTGCTCATCTTAACTACAAAATCTATGCCCCTTTACCTTTTCATAAACAAACATTGTCCTTTCTATAGAATATTCAATTACAGCCTATATAACATGGAATATTTTCTCATTTCAATTTGAGGTTAGAATTACTATAACTTTTGGTAGAGCACATCTTTCAACTTAAAACACTCAAACTTGAGTGAAGGTCATTTACATATTTTGGTTGTTTCTAAAACATCCAATGAACACAAATAACCAGTTTGCTTAAGCCTAGCTCACATTTACCTTCCCAAATTATTAATCATTTATTTTCCCTTTAATAATCTGATGAATTTTTAAAATGTTCTACACATGAAACAGAACTTAGAACTTCAAGAATGTCATGTAAAATTATGCAAATTTTAAATAGTAAATCTTTCTGCCTTTTGGCCATTATATTGAATTCCTACATAAAGAGCTACATCCTTAATAAATTTACACTAAATGCTTTACTTAGTGAAATTCTGCATTGAACTTAGCATCCTCTTACTGACATTCCACAAGGTTCATCATAATCTACTGGCTGGGGTGACCTCACACAAATATCTTAAGAGTCCATTTCTTCCACTACTATTATTTCCAATTTTCCCTAGGTTTTGAATTGTCATCTGAATAATCACCTTAAATTCAGCTTTCAACTATAATTAGCACCCAAGGGAAATGTAAAGTCTAGTTATTTTGGGTGCGTAAGAGTGATTTGATGGTTGTGACTAGCTATGAAACGAGATTTTAGGTCCCCTCCCCCAACCCAAATAGTATCAAGGGGCTGTCAGAAGTAGAAGACTATAAGTTTTAACTGCTTTGGTAGAGAACACCAAAGTTTTAGGTACAAAATAATCTTATGGTTGAGAAGGGCTTATAAGGCAAAATTCTAAATGCCCAGCTTTTTACTAGCAATGATTCATCCAAATAATCTTGTGCACTCTTCCTTTCAAAAAATAAATGTGACTTCTGTTAAAAGTTCTACAGGCCAAGCACGGTGGCTCACACCTGTAGTCTTAACAGAGGCGGGAAGATCACTTGAGGCCAGGAGTTTCAAGTCCAGCCTGGGTAACATGGAGAAAACCCAACTCTACTAAAAATACAAAATTAGCTGGACAAGGTGGCACACACTTGTAATCCCAGCTTCTTGGGAGACTGAGGCAGGAGAATCACTCAAACCCAGGAATCAGAGGTTGCAGTGAGCCCAGATCACACCACTGCATTCCAGTCCGGGCAACAGAGTTAGACTCTGTCTCAAAAACAAAAACCAGTTCTAATAATACATCTGTGCTGATGTTAACATTTAATACTTACCTTTCTTTGAGCTGAGTTTGAGAATATCAAAACTATCTCCAAGTGAACATTAATTTACTGGCCATCAACCAATGCCTGTTGCCTATATGACTACCAGAAAATAAGCATCTGTAGTTTTTAAATCACTTTATAACAAAGTAGAGAAGCTTATCTTTCAGATGCTAGATCCACGCCCCACCATCATTTAACAAGTTACATATACAAATGCCTTATTCCCCTTTTGCCTTCCCCTGAAGACTTTTACAATTAACAATAAAAGATAGCTAATACCATTAGATTACCTTTTAAGAATTTTAATTTGCTAACATATAAACACAAAAGTCAAAATCTTATCTTACTTAACAATTTAAAGATTAACTGATAGACCCAGTTAGAATCTTACATGAAGAGGAAAAAGGACAACCATGCATAGTTTTTTAAAAAATGTTTATTTTTTCAAAGAAAAATGGCAATAGCCAATTGGAAACCTACTTATTCTTCAACTCCAATTTTGTTTTCTTTAAATTTAGAAGTGACTTACTGATTTACTATTTTAAACAAACCCCCCCTTTCCCCTTTAAATGTTTACCATCTACTCGTGCTGAATCCTTCCAAGGAGATTGCTCCAGCGTTTATCTCCAGGTCCTCGCTTTGCTCCTTTTACCAAAAAATGCAAAACACAATTCCATCGTGCATCTTAAGGGCTCCAATCGTCAAAAATAGGAAAAAAAAAATCTTTGGAATAGCCAATTAAGTTGAATAAAAAAATCCACACGAATGCGGTTTGGTTGGGGCAGGAATCCACTCCTATGTTCCTGGTAATCTGATCCCGCTCCATGAATCCTGGTAATTCATCCTCCCTATCCTATCCACATTATGATTTGAATCCAATGATCCAGCTCCAAGGATTGGGATCCAGTGAGCCCTCTCCAATCCAAACCTTTATAACCAGCAAAACCAAAAAAGAGGAGGCAAAACGTTAGATACTGTAATCAAAAAAGGTTTCTGGGGAATGATGAGTTATGTTAGTCATCAGTTTAACAGATGCACATCAATAACTATCAAATTCCCCAAAACAAGTTTCTGAATGGTGTTCAGATAAATTTTAGAAACTTAATCATCATAGAGACTAATTGGAAGAAGCATCTTATATTTACAGTTCAACTGATAATGCCAACACTTGTTACTGTACAGCGTATTACAGGTTTCGTGGTTGCAAGAAGTTATGTAATTTAAGTTTACTGGCATTACTACCCACCTAAGTCTAAAACTAAATCTAATGCTCCCATTTGCAATTTAATTTGTAAATTAAAGTGTTTTAAACATATGAATCAATTATGAATATTAAAGGGGAAGGTGAGACCTAAGTACTCCCAACTAGATTATCTACACCAATACATTGGAACTCTATTATTTTGCTTTCATTTTGTCTTAAAAAAATGAAATAGCAACGCTCTATCAGTCACACAGAGGACATGCAGATTTAGCAGTATTGATATTATACTCTATCTTGTTGGATTTAAAGACACCCTGTACCCACATGTACACCAACAGCAGGTCACACATTAACAGTTGTAACTAAGCACTGTGACAAATTAGCCAGTTCTTCCCACATTAGTCCCTATTATAACAAAAATGGGGGAAAGGGAGCAAAATAAATTGCTACAAAATGGGCAACATAATTCTGCCACAATTGCCAAGGTTTAAAGAACAAAGCAATTGTAGCTAAAGATAACTGAATAAAACATTCAAGTGTTTTAAGGAAAATGTATATCATCATTTTCACCCCCTGCCTTTTAGTATAAGGTCAATACTGCCAATTTCATCTGTGACAATAGCACTTGGAGTCATACCATTGCCTCCATTATTGATCTGATCCTCCTCAATCCTCCTTTTGACAATCCTAAAATGATTGAAATGTGCTCCACAATCCTTAATCCAAAGCATTCTTAATCCATCTCTTCAGATATGTCTACAGAAAGACACATGAAAAGCAAGATAAACATAAGAACTTCCCCAGGTAAGATAACCACAAACACCCCCAACATCCCAGTTCACACAAATCAGGGCAGAATAGACATTTACACAATATCACAGTCTGAAGAGTATGGAGTTAACTAAATTTAAACAATCCTGTCTATGACATCACTTAAAATACAATTTATCAAAGACACGAGGGGAATGTAGATGTTAGGAGCAAAGGGGTATTACAAGAATGCAATTCAACACTTTAGCCCATTCTGAACAAAACAGTTTGAATTAAAAAATGAAAAGATTGTACTGAATAAAGGAAAACTGTATACAACATGGGTTCTACAAAAAGTGTCACCAATCATCTTATGTACGAGAGCGAGATCTGCTATGACGGGGAGAATAGCGTGGTGATCCTCTGCTTCTCCTTGGGGAGTAACTGCGACTCCTGCTGTTGCTTCTGCTACGGCTTCTGCTACGACTACGGCTTCGAGATCGAGATCTTCCATAACTTGGACTTCTGGGCCCATCAACTTTAACCCGGATGTAGGCAGTTTCTCCCTATTGGATAGACAGAACTTTCCATTGAAAGATCTAAGCTTTCACCTAGCTTCAGGCATGCTGAATGAATACAATGTAACTAAAACCAGAAATCTGGCAATTTACTTGGACACCCTTGCCTGAATCCTTACCTTCAAATTCCACTGTTAAGACCACTGTATCCAATTCTGGTCAAAAAAAAGAATAAGTGTATAACCTACCTCATGGGATCTAAACTTAGTGTTATCCAGTTTTCGAACTGCATAGGTCATATCTTCTTTCCGTACAAACTCCACGACACCAGTGCCATCTCGGTAAACATCAGCATAACATACATCACCTGCTTCACGCATGTGATCCTTTAAATCCTGCCAACTTCCACTTGGAGGCAGTCCTGAAAAAGTGATGTTTTCTTAGTATCAGTTATCTTAAATTTCACGTTAAGCTGGTAAGATGCATTAGGACAAAGAGTACTTTAAAATACTTAATAGTTGTACTTAAGTGATACCAGGTAAAGGGCTGATAAGATTCTGGAATCCAGAGTCCAAAATTATTTGTAACGGATCTTCGTGTCTAGTACCGCAACCTAATTTGGTAAATCACCACAGCAGCAATCCTCGTTTATTAAATTCACCCAAAAACTAAAGCAACTTAAGACCTAGCATGAAAAATTTGCAACTGTTAAACCGGTCACGCAAGAGAAAATTTCTAAGTAGCTTCCGTACCTTCACATCAACCACACAACCAGTAAGTATACTTACCAGAGACAACCACTCTGTTTTCAGACCGCCTGGATGGGGGGCCATAGCGACCTCGGGGAGCTCCGCCACCTCCACCCCCGCCGCCTCCTCGGCCTGTTCCACGGCCGCTTCGAGGAAACTCCACCCGCAGACGATATCCATCGTAATCATAGCCGTCGCGACCATACACCGCGTCTTCCGCGTCCCTGCGGGATCGTAGAGAGTAAAAGGCATGAGAAACCAGGAGGAGAGGATCGCTCAGTCGGGAACCAGCGAACCCCCCGCACATGCGCACCCAACGTGGAAGAGCCCACATGCGCCGCATAATGGGAATGGCCCCTCCCCCACCCAGAAACACGCCAGGCTCCCAGCCACTACACCAGCCCTCAGCGCCTCAGTTTCCCGCTCCAGCCTGTGAATGGGCTCCGGGGACGTCCAAGGCGAGGCGCCAGAGAAGCCACACCAACTCAGCTCCTCACTCGACTCCTGCATGGGCGATACAGTCTCGCCCCAACCTCTCTAAGAGCCCCCCGCCTCCCCGTTCTCTATGTTAAGGCCTTGGAGTCTTCCCCGACTACTCGGACCTATTTCCTCAAGGCTGCAAGCCCCATGCCGCCTCACCGCGGGTCCTCGAACTCAACGAAGGCGAAGGGCGGTCCCCCGCGGCGATTCTTGAGGTCGATGTCGCGGATAGCGCCGTATTTGTAGAACACGTCCTCAATGTCCTTGGTTCGGATGTCTGGAGGTAAGTTACCCACGTAGATGCGGCAATCGTTGTTCCCTGCGGGGCCACGAATCACACCACCTCCCGACATGGCGGCGACGAAAAGCGCGGACTGGAGAACGGGCCTTCCCACCAAGCCTAGCGCACGGCAGAGCGAGCCCGCAGCGGCACCACGTCTCCCGCGGCCCCTCCAAAATGGCGCCTTTATCAGCTCGGCGCACGGATATGGGGGGGAGACAGAGGAAGAGAAGCGGAAGGAAACAGCGATTCGATTCCAACACGCACGCGCGGGAGCGCAACGGATGCTGCGAAGACTACGCTCAACGCACGCGCACGCACGCGCGACGTCACCTTCCGCACGAAGGGGGAAAAAAAGTCCCCCGCTTTCCCGGCTTGGGGTGGTTTGCGAACAGAGGGACTAGCCGTTTGGTAAAAGTTAAATAAAAAGAACTCTCGCTAAAGGAGCTAGTCTTCCAGGTCGGGTCTTGAAGGACAGTCAATTTCCCCAGGAATGAGGATCTCTGAAAGCAACTCCGCGCCTTGAAAGGACTCGGTGAAACCTAGCCTGGAGCCTTGTCCCACCATGCTCTGCGGCGATAACGGCCTTTGGCGGGAAAGAGTCTCGGGGGCGGGGCCAAAGGGGGAGGGACCGGGCGGTTGCTCCGGAAACCCAGGCATCCTTGTAGAGTCTAGTTCCGAGCTGAGTTGCAGTTGGAGAGCTGGGGCGTTGGTTTGTCTTCCCTCCGCTCTTGCGAACAGGGCGTGGCTGCTTAGACAATTAGATTTGTCTAATTTAGCAAAACAGATTTCGATTCCTAAATAAATCCTCTTCACTAAGTACCGTTCCACCTTCTGGTCAGAACTTTGCATAGCTCAGTTCAGCACTCCTTGTGCTAGTCGCGGTGGGTGGGTAGTACCCCGACTGGCAACCTGGTACTAACTATCTGGAAGGGATGAAAACACCGTACCGCCTCTGAGACCCACACCTCTATATCTCTTGTTAATCGCCTATCCGTGGGACTAGCGCAGAAGACTTGCAAAATTAATTGTTTCTGTTGTTTCCTTTCAAATAACAAGAAGGAAGAAGGGGAGCGTGTGTGCAGTCCTGGTTTCAAAAGTTTCCCCTAAAAGTTACTGATATACCAGGTTTTGAAACTACCAGACCTCTCAGGTAATAAAATGGAGCAAAATGGATGTGAGAACCGTAACCACTAGAGACCGTGGTTGCTACTCAGGACTGTGATCCTACTTGCCAGCAGTCTTGGGAGATAACATTTTACATTTTTTTTCCGACGTCTGAAATCTGCATTTTTATGTTAAATCCTGGGATTTTTAAGGTAATGAATTCAAATTAAAATCAGGCTGGGCGTGGTAGCTCACGCCAGCACTTTGACGGGCGGGTAACATTGAGGTCAGTAGTTCAAGACCAGCTTGGCCAACATGGTGAAAACCCATCTGCTTAAAAAATAAAAAGCCAGGCGTGGTGACGGGCGCCTGTAATCCCAGCACTTTGGGAGGCCGAGGCAGGCGGACAGATCACAAGGTCAGGAGTTTGAGGCCAACCTGGCCAAAATGGTGAAAGCCCATCTCTACTAAAAATACAAAAATTAACTGGGCGTGGTGGCACGTGCCTGTAGTCCCAGCTACTCAGGAGGCTGAGGCAGAAGAATCGCTTGAACCCGGGAGTAGAGGTTGTAGTGAGCCGAGATCGAGCCACTGTACTCCAGCATGGGCAACAGAGTGAGACTCTGTCTCAAAAAAAAAAGGAAAAGGAAAAAAAACAATTAGAAATAAGCGGGAATGCTTGGTCTTGTGTCTGCGGAGCCTCAATATATGCACAGATGACCTTGGGTAGTCGAACTTTCTGTAATATTTTCCAAAATTATATGCATGTGTATATCTACAAAAACATATGCATGTGTGTACTTTTTTCTAGGAAGAGGATTTGAAATTTTAATCAAATTATTAAAGGAGTCCATAGATCCCTCAGCCTTCCAAGTAGCTAGAATTACAGACATGTGCCACCATGCCCATCTAATTTTTGTATTTTTTTGTAGCTGGGATCACAGGCATGAGCCACCATGCCCAGCTAATTTTTGTATTTTTAGAAGAAACGGGGTTTCGCCGTGTTGGCCAGGCTGTTCTCAAACTCCTGGCCTCAAGTGATCCACCGGCCTCAGCCTCCCAAAGTGGTGGGATTACAGGCATGAGCCCCTGAAGCCAGCCAATTTTTTTTTTTTTTTTTAGACAGGGACTTGCTCTGTCATTCAGGCTGGAGTGCAGTGGTGCAATCACAGCTCACTTCAGCCTCTACCTTCTGGACCCAAGCAATCTTCCCACCTCAGTCTTCTAAAGTAGCTGGGACTACAGCTACAAAAAATACAAAATCACTATAAAAAATACAAAAATCAGTCTGAAGTGGTGGTACAGGTACTGATTTTTGTATTTTTTATAGTGATGGGGTCTTGCCATGTTACCTAGGCTGCTCTTGAACTCCTGAGGTCATGTGATCCTCCCGTCTCAGCCTTCCAAAATGGAGGGAACTAGAGGTGTGAGCCACTGTGCCTGGCCAGGGCCAGAGCCTGATTTTTTTTTTTTTGTTGAGGTGACCAAAAAAGATACTATTTCAACAAATTTACTGTTTCTAGCATTGTTCCATTAAGTGAGTGGCAGAAAAGAGGAGAGTTCTAAAAAACTTGCTGCCTGTTGATTCTTTTATTCAGCAGTTATTTGCTGAACACATTTTCTTTCTGTTCTTTTCTCCATCAATTTAAATTTATACAGGCAAATCTTATGTTAATTAATAATAAGCCAATAGTAACTGAAATGATAACTGAAATCAGTAGTTTATAATTGGACAGTTCATTTTAAGAAGGGATGAAGGGCCGAGTGTGGTGGCTCTCGCCTGTAATCCTAGCACTTTGGGAGGCTGAGGTGGGCAGATCACAAGGTCAGGAGTTTGAGACCAGCCTGGCCAACATGATGAAACCCCATCTCTACTAAAGTTACAAAACATTAGCTGGGCGGATCCCTGTAATCCCAGCTACTCAGGAGGCTGAGGCAGGAGAATCACTTGAACCTGGGAGGCAGAGGTTGCAGTGAGCAGAGATCGAGCCATTGCACTACAGCCTGGGC